GTGTGTGTGTGTGTGTGTGTGTGTGTGTGTGTGTGTGTGTGTGTGTGTCTAACCTGTCCAGGTAGTTGACTATGTTCGGGTTCTTATTTTCCCTCATCACCAGAATCTCATTGATGATCAGCTCCTTCTTGGGCTGCTGCTGCAGGTTCATCTGTTTGATGGCAACCTGAGAAAAAAACAAAACTTTTCTCATATTCATGCAAATAAATCACACGGATGTGAGATGAAACTGGAGAAATAGGTGGGAGTAGAAATTCTCTTTAATTGAAAGAGAAAGAGAACGAGAGAGGGAGAGGGAGAAAAGGGACAGACAGAAAGCCAGAGGGAAATCTCTCAATCTGACGGCAGTAAAAGTGAGCACACAGACTAATCCTCAGAGTGAAACTGAGGAGGATTATCCCGACAGACGAGCCGAGCTCCTTTAAAAAATGAACCTGTGCGTCGCAGCTGTTGAGGCTGACGACTTTAATCCAGTCCCTGTCCTCACTGAGCACACTCCATCAGGACGGACTGCTCTCGTCTCTTAAGTCTCCTCGCTTCATTTTACCTGATGAACGGCTGACACCCGGATGAACCCTCCTTCATTTAAACTTCCCGTTAACACTTATTAAAACCTCTATTGTCTTCTAAAAAAAATAAAGGCCATTCAGTCTGAAATTTATTTCTCCGTAAATTTGCAATCAAATCTTTTAGTCTGTGGAATTAATTAGAACTCACTTCAGCATCATGGTTCAACTTCATTTGACTTTAGACTTTCTACAGACTTTGGCCTTTCAGCCAACACTTAAACAGTTTGAAGTCATCTCCGTCATCCTCCAGGTAGTGAACTTTATTTCCCCTCTACTTCTTTGATTAAGTCAATCCTCTTTCCCCCTTTACCCTCTTGTCTCTGTGTGGGACCTTTAATGTGCTCTCCAAGTCAAGTTAAGTTTCAGAAATTGGTCCTTTTTAGCACTGTCAGCATTCCCTCTGTGCCCAATGACTAAGGCTGGCGATAAGCTGAAGGAGCGGAGAGAACAGAAGGAGACAACAAATATCAAGGAGGACGCTCAATGTAACCCACCTCCTGTCCTGTAGCGATGTCTATAGCTGTGTACACCGTCCCAGAAGCCCTGAAGACACACAGCAGAGAGCTCCACATTAACATTATGTCACCATGTCTCTGTTGGATGAAAGCTTTTTTATTTTTATTTATTTAAGATCACTTAAAAGTAACATCATGAATATGTGCAGGTTTCACACTCCACAGCAGCATTCAAACAACCAGGAGATGCTCCACATCGTCATGGGTCAGAATGCAATCTCAAAGCTGATCTCGGGCCATATTAGTTAAACTATATTAGACCATATTAGTTAAACTATGTTAGACCATACTAGTTAAAGTTACTGCAAGGCACTTTTCATTCTGTGTTGATTCTGTGGACAAAGTGGTTTCTAGCACCAGAGTCTCTTTAGAAAACCTCTCATTTTACAGTCTGACCCGCTCAGTCCTGGTTCTGGTTCTCCCGTGTCTCTTTTCCCTCCAGTGGGCCCTGCAGTACGGCCTGGTCCACAGGCAGCGTGGTGTCGGTGTTGGCTCCCAGCAGGGACCGGCAAAGCAGGGAGGTGGAGCTCTGCTCCTCTCCTCCTCCTGCCGGAGCTTCTGACAGCGAGTAGATGGCCTCAGCGAAGCCGGATCTGGGTCTGTCTACGGTGGGCTAGTCTCTGCTGGAGCCCCCGCTGGAGTCTGAGTCTGATTTTGCACAGAATCCGACCCGGTGCAGCGATCACAAGCATTAAGAATAACTATATAGAAACAACCAATCTTGTCACTGATGGTCTCGAGTACTTATGAAGTTCAAACAGAGGAATAACCCGTTAAAAGTTCCTCACAGTAACTTTAAATTGAATACTCCACAAAATAGCCTGTGTGGGCATTCAACCAGTTACAAGTTACCCTTTTGAGGCTTTATATTTACCAGAGGACTAATCTTTGTCATATTAATAACAAATCACCAAAGACTAATATTACTTTCTGTCCTTAATCTAAATCTGTGCCATCTGACTATTTCAATCAAAATAAAGGATGGTTATGGAGCTTTGATTCATTGCTTGCTACTGAATGTTTCACGCACTGTTTCTATTGGAAAAGAAGTATTTAGTGTGATTTGGGCCGTTGTGCTATTGTTACTGACATTAACACAATAACTCGTACTATGTTGTCAGATGTACCTCTGGGTTTAGCAGCATTGTAGAATATGAAAGTTTTGTTTGTAGGATGAAACGAACACTGTGTTGCCATTTTCACACATGCAGTTTCACTTTTCTTTTCTCTTTTTAAGGTTTTTGTTTTGTCGGGGACACACCTGAAATCTTTCTGTGCAACGATTATTCTAATCTGATGCTACATTTACATAATGCTCGTTAGGTGCCGTCAGTGATTCTAATCCAATAGACTTTTGGTCAAACAGCAACATGGTTAGGGTCATGCTCCTGTACGGGACAGGATGAAAGGCCATGGGTGAGTGAAGAGAAAGGCAGTGAGACCCAGAGGACGGTGGATCGAGATGGGGGGGGTTGGGTTTGTTTGGCTGTTAGGTTCAAATATCAACAATCTTTCTCCAGGAATTGTTGACCCCGCCTTGAAGTGATCGGACCAATCGCAGCAGACTTGACGTGTCGACTCAGCCACAGTAGATTGGTGACACTTACCCCTGTCCGATCTTCTCAAAGCGCGTATATTTCTTCTTGGGGTCTCCCACACTCACGATTGTCCCTGAGTCAAAGAAAGACAGAGAAAGAAAAGCTCACATGAGTGACCAAAAACAAACTAACGTATTCAGAGAAAGATAAACAGCTGAATAGTATTTATATATCTTCCTTTTACTGTTCCACTGAATCTGAATGGATAGAAGAGTCAGGGGTCTTTCTATCCATTCAGATTCTACTCTATGTTCATCACACTCAGCTCAATGCAGCATGCTGACTGGGAGAAAGACCAGAGAGAAAAGAAAGAAAGGGGGAAGGAAGAAGTAAGGAAAGGCAGAAAGCAATGAAGTAACGAATGAAGGAAGTAAGAGGGAAAAACTGAAGAAAGACATGAAGGACAGAAGAAAGAAAGAAATGAAAGAACAAAATAATGAAAGAATGAAATGATGGACAGAAGAAAGAAAAAAATATAGAAAGTAATGACTATAAAAGACAGAAAGACAGAAGTGAAGGACAGATGAAAGAAAAGACAGACAGACAGACAGACAGACAGAAGGAGCTGCAGCAGCTCCGTCTGCAGTTCAGTAATCAGAGTCCATAGAAGGAAAGTGATTAAAGGACAAAACTTGGAGTCAGTCTCTACCCGCACGAGACGATGGATAGAGAGAGAGGACGACCAATCAGACGTGAGGATTGGACAGTGGGGGCGGGGACAGTGGATATCAGGTCTGTCAGTCAGAGACAGACACACAGACAGGCAGTATCCTGGTCTTACCAGCAGAGGGAGATCTGAGCACATCTGGACAGGCGTGGGGCATGATTTAAAAAATATACAGGCTTTTATTACAAGTACACAGCAACACATTTCTATACCGGAGAGGGTTTGTTTTTAAATATGTGCTTTTATTCTGAAGGGTTGTGGCATGATTTAGTCACAGTGCAGCTCAAAGGGTCATAGGAGGATTTATTTATGTGCTAAATTATGTTAATATGTTAATTATATTTAGAAAGAGTGTGAAAAGTTTTGGATGATATTGCATATTTTACACATTATTGTAAGAACAGAGACTTTTAAAGTACACACAAGTGGCGTGAAACAAGACTTTTAACAGCTTGAGGACGTGATGTGAAAATCACGGATGTCATTAATAAAATCAAAACTTTTTATTTTGATTATTTTAATAAGTAAGATATTGCAATAAAATCGTCTGAGGTTACAATACTACAGCTCTGTATGTGACCTCACAGCACATGATTAGAAATAGATGTCATTCTATTATCATAAGACATGTTGGAAGAGTACAAAGCACAAACTTAATTCAGTTATTGAGTGTCTGTGCTTCCCGTCTGCCGCCTGCAGTTTATTCTGGACCATGTCGCTCCTCTTTATTTTACTTTAATTTGACTTGAAATAAGGAGCGTTACCCAGACGATCTCCAAGCTTTAAGTCAGGGCGAAAAGAATGACTTCCAGTGACAAAAGCTCTGTGCGTGAACGTCACGTCGACTGCTACAGTAACAGGAGGAGGGCTTCAAGAAGAAAGGCTCGGTGCCACGAACCAATGAGAACAAAGGAAATACTTTAAAAGGTCGGACAGAAGACTTTAACACTTCAATAGAGAAAACTTTTAACAGGATCTGAGACGCCGCAGGCGGGTTATATTTATAGAAGAGATAACATTATGTAACATCTCTCACTTCCCACACTACAGACTGTAGTGTGCTGCAGAACCAGGATGTTAATCATGATGTGCCTAAAGGAAAGCCTAAAGGAACAAAGTCGTTCTACATGGAATAGGCCCTTTATTATGTAGTCAGTTAGAAAAATACCAGATTGAAATATTTGCACCACATATGTGTACTATTAATAGAAGTTCTACTTGTTAAAAACACAATACAATACTTGCTGGGTCTTGAGCCTAAAATAAATTCACAGCCTCCTCCGTGGGAGAAAACCAGTGTGTGTGTGTGTGTGTGTGTGTGTGTGTGTGTGTGTGTGTGTGTGTGTGTGTGTAAAGAGAAAGTGATGAAACAGTGAGTCAAAGATAAAAACAGTGTAAACGAGACTAAAATTAGCTCTCGGCGACTTGCTGAACTGTAGCAGAGGAAGTGCATCACGCTTTTTTAAAACGGACCCCGGATGACGATTAATATCTATCGAGCAAATCATTCACAGGACACACAATATTACATAAATATATAAATATACAGTCTGTGGAATTAAGACTTGTGTGTAGCTTTCTTTAGAGGAAAAGACGCTGTCAGAGACTTTTAAAGAAAATAAAAGTCACCGTCTTTTTTATACAAAACACCCTGTAAGATAAAAACTACTGTGGTCATGACCGTGATGGACTCTCAAGTGTCTACAGCTCGTCGGTTTTAACATTTTCTCACTCTTCTGGTTTCAGACTTTCCACCAGATTTTTAGAACGCAGGGTCTTTTCAACCCTGATGTTGGCTGATCAGGTCTCGCTCACAGTCAAAGTGTTCCGGTTCATCCCAGAAGGTCACGGATGCGGGGATGAGGTCAGGGCTCAGAGCAGACCAGTTCAATTCTCCCACACCAAACTGGGAAAAACACTTCTTTACGGAGCTGGCTTTGTCCATGTGCTGTAACGCTTGTTGCGTTAAAAAGGTGCGTGAATTGGGAGCATTTCCATCGCCCCTTAACGTGGTCTCAACATGGCAACAGTGCAATGTGAAGCTCATATAACAACATGGACTGGGGTGTCCACATACTTTTGGCCATTTATTGTGGTTGTTCCTTTGTTCAGCCGGTAATTAATCTAAACTACTGGTAATGTGATCTTTAAAGGGCGACAGTCATAGATAAAAGATAATGCAAAGTATTTCTATATGAAGATAATCTGGAGTATTCTAAAGTTTGAGTGCATGAATGAGGCTTACGTAGTTTCTCCAGGATCTCCTCGTCCGACATCTTCTTCTTCCTGGTTTTGTCCAGGGGGCGGGGCACTGAGGGCCCGGGGGCAGGGCTCGCATTGGGAGGGCTGCTGGGAGCTCCCTCTGAAGGGGGGGCGGGGATGACGGCTGCGGTGGCGCCGGCGGCCGGAGGCGGGGAGATGGGCGAGGTCGCGGCATCTTTGGTGGGAGGAGGAGGAGGGAGGGGCTCGATCACAGAGCGGGTGTATATCTGAAAGAATAATCCAAACGGTGTTACACAATTCTAAATCTGAGAAAATACTTTCAATATTATCAAATAGTCCATCTTTCTGTCTTTTCCCGACTTTTGAGACAAAGAGCGAAGATGAACTATATGTGATAGCAGGTGTGTAGAGTGAGACGCCATCGATAAACACACAGCACTGCATTGACTCAGCAGTGATTCAGCTTTGACATCATGTTACCTGATCAGTAATTACATTACTAAATAAAAACATTAGCTCGCCTACACATTATATCATACTACACTGTAGACTTTACTATACTATACTGATTTGTATATATTTTATACTTTGTTATATTGCTGTACTATACTTCTACCTGAATCTATTGTTATATTACTACCTTACATTATTATGTCATATCCCATACTATATCATAATATGTTGATTTGTACTTCTATATATGTCATTCTCTATTCATATTACATCTCTATATCAATACAGACAACACTAAGTGCTATCACTTTATCATATCATATATATTAGTCTGACTGTTAACACAGAAAACTGCTGTGTTGTAGAAACGTGTCCTCACAGCCGCAGCAGGCCTCAGTAGGTTTCCATGCTTTTTCGGCACAGTATAAAAACAATCAATGAGCAGATTCCTGAAAGCTGCTCTAGTAATGTAATCCATCATAATGAACATCAGGTCCGCATTAACTTTTGTCAAAGTTGCTTTATAGTTATGAGGTGCTGCTGACTTTTCAAACTGCATTACCAGCTCATTGAAGGAAGGGGGGGGGGGGGCTAGAGGAGCTCCTTATTCTCTTTCAGAATATAAGAATAACACATAACTGAAATGCAGCGCAGTGTTGGAAACGATGAATATATATACAGTACATATATACAGTATATATATATATATATACTATATAAAATATATGTATTAAATTGTAGCTTAAGTAAGTGAGTCATGTTTAAATGTAAATGTTGCAACTGAGCTGTGAGGCGTTTGAGTCCCGCTCCGCTTTCAGACTGTCGGAACGAAAAATGTTGGGAAAAAAAACGACAAAGAGAACAGAGTGTTTCTGTGTGTGTGTGTGTGTGTGTGCGCGTGTGTGTGCGTGTGTGTGTGTATGCCGCGGGAGCTCCAGTCAGGTGCACAAGACTAGTCACCGAGGAAACTGTGGTGGCGCCATGGAAGCAGCCTCTCGACCGCCAACCTGTCTGACAGAGGAGCAACAATGTCTGTGTGTGTGTGTGTGTGTGTGTGTGTGTGTGTGTGTGTGTGTGTTTTACCAGATATAGAGAAAAAAAGTAAATAATGATTTATTTTTTAAATGATTTATTTTAGTTGAAACATTTGATGGTAGTACTATAATCTTTTCTAACAAAAGCTCTAACAGTTTTTCAGGTGGGGATTAAAAACGACATGTTGAATTTATGTCAAGTCGAAATCTTCAATCCAATTAGTCCATTAATCGATTGGACAGAAATGATTCTGCTTACTATCTTGATAATCGCTTCAGTCATATTTTTCACTTCCAGCTTGTCAACTGCATGGATCGGCTGCTTGTTCTTTGTCTGACGATGAACTGAATGTCTGACATTTAATGGTGTTATCTTTGGTGATGGACATTTCTTCACTCCACATGTGATAAACAAAACAATGAATTGATTATGAAAACAAAACAGCAGATAGATTAATGGTAAAAATGCTATTTCGTCGCAGACCTGAACACATTTGTTTTGATTTCAATCTTTTCACTGAAGTCTAAATTGATTTTTTGATAAGAATTGAATACTGCCATCTCAACTACACTCAGTTGGCAGTTTATTAGGTACTCAAAGCTAAAACTAATTCAGTCGAATACAACAGTCCTGCAACAAATCCTACTTTGATGACGGTTTTGTTCTTGCTTTAAAAGATTGATTTTTGAGGCTGTAGTTTGTGGTTCATTATACAGAGAGGTGTTTCTGTTATTTAGTCTACCCCCATTGATAAAGCATGCACAGTGTAGACATACTATTAAAAACAGCAGAAGGGAGGATTTAATGACTGTTGTATTGGATCGCATTAGTTTTAGCCAAGTGTACCAAATCACATGGCCACTGAGTGTTTGTCAGTCTATGAAGAAGTGAGACATGTCACTGTGAATGGAGAGAGATCAGGCCTTCTGTCCGATTAGTTAATCTCATAAGTGTGTGTGTGTGTGTGTGTGTGTGTGTGTGTGTGTGTGTGTGTGTGTGTGTGTGTGTGTGTGTGTGAGAGAGAGATCCTGACTTGACCCAGGGGAGAACAGAAAGCTTCTTTGAAAAACAGTTTCTAAATAAAATAACCTGTGCTTCCCCTGAGACTGACACACACACAGACACACATCACACACACACACACACACACACACACACAGGTCTTTGTGGTCTTGTTTGGGAGTTGAAGCGAGGCAGGAGACCGGACCATTTAAAGATTAGTGGGTGTACGACATTTCATTAACGACTGCTACCTGGACATTAGTAATGACTCATGTGGGACTGTTTAGTGGGACAGAATGACTCGGTGTGTGTGTGTGTGTGTGTGTGTGTGTGTGTGTGTGTGTGTGTTTACAGTGTTGTACTATGTTTGATCCAATAACCAATAAGCTTTTGGCGAAAAGTGTTTTCGTGTCTGTCTTGTTGAATGTTCGAGATATTTCTAATGTAAAAATCATTTCTCTACATACATGTATCTGTACCGTTGATTTAAACAATATATCCAGCAAACGTATCATAGATACAAAAGGATTCTAAGTCAACATTACTCTACTGTTTGTGGAGATAAAATCATGGAGCCAGTTCTTCAGCTGGACTGAAAAAGTTTAGTTTGTGCTAATTATAGAGCCAATAGTTATAGTAATTAGTTATTAGTTTTCTACGTCTTTATTGTAGTTTTCTACATATTTAGTTGTAGTTTTCCACGTCTTTAGTTGTAGTTTTCCACGCCTTTAGTTGTAGTTTTCCACATCTTTAGTTGTAGTTTGCCACGTCTTTAGTTGTAGTTTTCCACGTCTTTAGTTGTAGTTTTCCACATCTTTAGTTGTAGTTTTCCACGTCTTTCGTTGTATTTTCCACGTCTTTAGTTGTAGTTTTCCACGTCTTTAGTTGTAGTTTTCCACATCTTTAGTTGTAGTTTGCCACGTCTTTAGTTGTAGTTTTCCACGTCTTTAGTTGTAGTTTTCCACGTCTTTCGTTGTATTTTCCACGTCTTTAGTTGTAGTTTTCCACGTCTTTAGTTGTAGTTTTCTACATCTTTAGTTATTTTAAAGTTGTTTTCAACATTTTTAACTCATATCGACAAACAAACATCTGTAGAACTTTGAAAGTGTTTCCCGTTATTATTTAACTGCAATTTTAAAGTAATTCCCCAAGTGCGTATACTTACTTTTTCAGTAACACTTTCTATGACACCCATTACTATAATGCTTTTTTAACATACTGATAATCTGCTGATAGCACTGTATCATCATAGTTATATTCTTTCATAGATTAAACTATATTTTCTTGTTTGCCTTGGCCCTCTCACTACTTCACAGGTCTGTTTGAAGGTGTGGAAAGAGCGTGTGTGTGCGTGTCCTTACTGATTTGGTGTGCTCTGGTCGGGGGGCGATCACTGGCGGGGGCTCGGCCTCATCTTCGTCGTCGTCCTCGGATACGGTCGCTATGGCGGGCGTCTCCGACATGGCCTTGGAGCTCTGGGTGATGTCACAGGGGGGGAGAAGGCGGAGCCTCAGTGACATCATCGTCACATGAGCAAACACCAGACCCAGCATAGCCTCCTACAGTTACCGTCTGTTCTTCTACTGCTTCATCGTCTCATCATGTAGAGAAGCCCTCCAGCTCTTCTTCTCTGCTCGTTTTGTTGTCTGAATTGGACTTCCTGTCTTTCCTGCCTCCCTCCCTCTGTCCTTCCACCCTTTTTTCTCTCGCCCTCCTCTCGTCATCACTGTTGATGTCTGAAAGCTCTTGTCATGTCTGGCTCCTAATGCCTCTAGTCACACGTCCTCCCCTCCACCATCCCTCTCTTCTTCCTCTCTGCTCTGTCTCTATCTCTGACACTCTGATGCTCGGCCGGTGGCCATGCTGCAGAGACGGGGAAACGGTGAAAGGAGGAAAAGATGCTGATTCACAATGCAGAGAGAGAGAGAGAGAGAGAGAGAGAGAGAGAGAGAGAGAGAGAGAGGAGTGCATCTCTAGGTGTGGCATCATCATCATCACTTCCTGCTCCCTCCTTCTCTTTATTCTCACCTACATAGTTTTGTTTCAAAGGTGCCTTTCAGACATTTGCACAGCGGGGAAAAAAAGTCATTTATTTCAATAAGAACCATTGAGTTTGGAGAATGTGTGTGTCGTCCAGCAATGAAAGGTGGTCCTGTATTGGAAAGGCCTTGGCCAATTTCAAATGTTGTCCTTTTAAGCTAGATCATACCATACACGCACATACTGTCTCCTTAAATATTAATATCTACATGAAATCTGTCTGTTTCACAAATAAATTACACATATTATCCCATTTATTTAATGTTAGATAGATGAGGAAGTAGCTTATGGTTCCAGAGCTGTTTGGATTCATAGTCGGCATTAAAAATGTACCTAAATCATTTAATCATTTCCTGTTAATAATTTAGTTTTTGCAAAATAGACATTTAGCAATAAAATTATATAAATAAAACATAGTAGCCTTTCACCGGACAATTTATTGAAACAAAATTAAATAATTAATAAAAATAATGCAGATTAACAATCACAATCAATCCTTTTAATATACATCCTCAGTGCTGTCCTTCGTGAAAATATATTGGCCAATCAAATAACTCGCACTCACACAATTTAAGATATTGGTCCAACTCAAACTAGCAGCAACTAGCAGTTCAGAGTTGTTTTGGTGTGCAGCCAATGTCAAAAAGGTTAAGATTTAATTCAAATTGATGTAGAAATAAAAGCTTTGCTGATCAAATGATAAAAATCTGCACAATCTGCATCTCAACACGATGTCTTCGCCCTCATTCACTTCTTTTTAACATTCTCTTTCAAATGTATTCTCTGATCTCATCTCAACCCCATCAGCTGCTCTCCCTCTCTCCCTCTCTCCTCCAAAACTGCGTCTCCTCTCCGCTCCGTCTTGTCAAACGCTAGATTACACCTCATCTCCTCCGCTCCTTCTTTTAATCTCCTCATCCTGTCACACCTCAGCTCTCCCTCCTCCCTCTCCTATTAATCCTTTTATTGCTCATCACCTTGACAGATTAAATAACACTCCATCTCCCTCCAAGACAGTCTCCTCTCAAATTTACCCTCAACTTTATTCACTCTCAAACTTGGCTTCGAGGAGGAGTTGCCCCCTGCTGGCCAGAAGAAAGATAAATTCATTTGGGAAACTATAATCGGAGTTATCATTAGCTGGTTCCACTGACGTTGGCTGCAGCCAGTGTTAACACACATGTTGTGACTGCGTTGACAGAGGAGGTCTTACCGTTGTGGTGGAGGAGCTGTAGGCATCTGCGTTTTTATCTGCAGGGAAAAACACAATGAGAAATTATGAGGGAAAAAAAATAAGGAGGAAAGTTCAAGACTCGCACGTGTGTGTGAGTGTGTGTGTGTGTGTGTGTGTGTGTGTGTGTGTGTGTGTGTACCTGTGAAGCTCATGTACTTCTGGCTGTTGGCCGTTTCTTTCGAGTCATAGAACTTTAGAACGTCGAGGACGGCCTGAGGATTCTTCTTCTGCTCCAGTTTGGTGATGTTGGACGTCTGCAGGAGCCGGGCCCACTGCTCTGGCATGCCCTACACACACACACAAATGTTTACTTATTGTTTTGAATTCATGTGCTGTGTATTTTTTGTACTTATTTATGAGCCTTGTCACAAATCCCCATCGCTTTAAAATGCACAATACGTTTCAAACAATACAACAAGATACTGTTGTAAAGAGGACACACACACACACACACACACACAGGCTTCCTATAGTAGGTTAGGAGTCCTAACAAGGCAGCCTTGTCATATTATACCTCAGTCACATAACTGGGTCACATCTCCATGTTTTCCATCTCTCTCTCTCTCTCTCTACTCGTCTGTCTGGGTCAGTCCCTCACTCACGCTCCTCCACTTCCTGCTCCATCTCTCCGTCCCTGCACTCTCCTCGGGTCTCATCTGTCCTTAATGTCACACCATCAGTGCCTCCATCCATCTGACGTCTTTGTACACTGCTCTGCTGTTTGTTTTTTTACCCAAATAAACACAACTTAAATATTCCTTGAGTAAATATGTTTAAGTGCATGTAGATGTGTGTATGAGTGAGAACAATGTCCCACATTACAGAAAAGGAAACACACACACACACACACTCCCAGCTAAAAGAGCTCAGTCAGGCGAATCAAGTGAGTCAGCTAAACAAGGCTTCTTTGTCTAATGTGACTATTTAAAAAGGTTCATTTGCCAAATGTGTGCTTATCAAACACACACACACACACACACACACACACACACACACACACACACACACACACACACACACACACACACACGCGTCAATGAACATGGGTCCTTCGGTAAGCAATTAAAAAGTAAAGCGCATACACACTACGGTTGCTTTCAGTGAAATCCACTGAGTGCGAGTACACACAAAGGGGACTAAATGCACAAAACACCACACACACAGACACTTACAGTAAACTCCCCGGTAACGGCGTCGAAGCCGACATGGATGGTGTGTTCAAAATCAGACGGCAGGGAAATCTCTGGACGCTCCTTCTTCTTGTAGGCTGGAAAAAAAAAAAAAAAAAGGAGACTCAAACATTTTAGGAACCAGATTATACCTGTGAAGTTGATATATTTTAGGACGCAGGATGGTCCGAGATTTCATTTCCCTTTAGAATAAAAGGGGATTAGTGAAAAAGTGCGTATATACTAAATGATTTTGATTCCTAACTTGGCACTCAGAGGCTGCAGAAGAGCAGCAGTTGTACCAATTCAATAATTAAACCGACTGTAAAAGACCATCCTGAATGCAAAATATCTTTTTTAAGAGCCCTTGAAGAGGAAGTACAAGGAATTCCTGGAACGGTCTTAAATCCAGAGAGAATTAGTAAAAAGGAACTGAGGTAAGCAGAAGAGAGGAAATTAGGAAACAGAAAAGGAGCCAGAGGAAGATGAAAGAAGAATGGAATCTGAGAGAAAGACGTCAATATGAGACGCTGTATGTTGGAGACAGATCCCTCTGGGATGACTATGAATGATACGGGACCCACAAAGCACCTGTCCCTGGATGTGGAAGCGGACAGTGACTTAGTCAGCAGAAATGTGTTTGTTCCCCCAGAAACATGCCGGAGATCGAAACTGAGATAACGTTTTAATACAGAGGAGTGGCCACTTGTCGACTCTTTGGTTTTAACTTATCGTAGAATAGTATAGAATACAACTTTATTGTCCACAGGTGCAGAATTGTCTTGAGTTCACCAAAACGTAAAAGCAGCACAAGAAGATGCATCTTATAGAAATAATGTAGCAACAAATAAACACCCCTGAAGTATAGTGGTGTAACGGACCACTGTCCATCCGTACGTAGAATTGTTGATGGTCTACAAGGACTTCAATGTGGTTGAAAGGATTTTTGGGACGGTGGCAAATAAAAAATAGTCTGGAGCCTTGTAGACCAGCTGTTATAATCAAACAACAAAGGGATGTGTATCTGCCAATATGGATCATCAAGGATCCAACATTTGTTATAAACTTGATCAGGGATCACTTGATCAGTTATATTTGCTCCCTTTTTTCTTTTGATCTGATCCGTGACTCTGATCCGTGATCCGAACCGTGAGTTTTATGATCCGTTGCACCACTACTGAAGTATAAAAAGTAAATTATACAAAATACTTAAAACAATAGTTAGTAATGTTTATTCGCTTTCTGGCACAGAATGGAAGGAGATGATCCGTTCGTCTACAAGGTCACACTCCAGTGCTTGGCTCAAGGGTAACACGAGTGTCGGTGCAATCCCACCGTTCCCCCCACAGCGGTCTCGGTACTCACTCTTGTCGCCTCCCCCCGTCAGGATGAACCGGATCGAGCGGTCCTTCTTCTTCTTGTCCTCCGGGTTGGGTGGGAGGGGCTTGGAGCCGTGGTTGAGCGGGGCGGGGTCCTTGTTGCAGGAGCCAATCATGGTGCTGGTGTTCCTCATGGGCGGAGCTGGGGGCTTGTCCTCGACCTCCCCATTATCGGACATTTTCAGCGAGGCTGCAGCCGGCCGCTCCTGCACAGAGAACAGAGGGGGAATCATCGACCAATCACAGGCGAGCATTCAGGAGACGGTGACTCTTCAAATTATTTTGTTTTGAAAATATTTTGTGTCACCGACAGAAAAAAATAAAGCTCAATATACAATGATAGAAAACTAAATGAATTGTACTTAACAAATAACCTAAACCTTAAATCAATTATTGTCATTACAAATAGCCGAGGCACCTTTGCTTTGTGACCCTATTTATTCATTAATTTACTGTGGATGTCCTGTCATTTTCATTTTCTTACGAAGCCAAAATCAATTAATTTTATGAAAAAACATCTTTTTCTACAGGTCTCATTTTAAATGTTGCCCCAAATAAATTGTTTGCTTTAACCACATCCTGTAAAAAAACATTCAATTCCGAGACCAACAGTCACGTGACAAAAAATCTTTGACGAGAAAAAAATTAACACAGAGCATTGAGGAGAAGAGAGGTTGTAAAACTGTAAAAAAGTTAAATATGTACAGCAGGGTGTTGGTAACACTTGTAAAAGTATTAGAGAGTAACATGTGACAGGAGGGGCCTGACGCTGTTTGGGGGACAGAGGGTTAATCCATCTAATTATATTTGATCTAATCTTCATCTTCTACTTTCCTTTTTTTAAAATTCTATTTATAATGTTTTTTTATATTGTCTTGCGTTTATTTTATACCTTAATGTCTTTTACGTCTTATGTAAAGCACTTTAAATTGTCTCGCTGTTGAAAGGTTTACTACAAATAAACTTCTATTTATCAATGATACATACATATACATACATACATACATATACATACATACATACATACACATATACATACATATATACATATACATACATATGTATATATACATACACATATACGTATACATACATACCTGTATATACACACA